GACACTGATCATCGGCTTGCCAGAGCCAAGCTCACTTCACGTCGCCCCAAGACGGCGAAGGCAGCAAGCCTCCAGAAGAGGTCTTAACATTAATCGTCTGGAGGATCCAGCGGTAGCACATGCTTTCAAAGAGCAGCTCGAACATGGGCTGATAAACAACCCAACAGCAAACAACCCAAATCCCAGTGCCAAATGGGATATTCTCAACACTGTCATGACAAAAACCTCAGAGACACTCTCGGCCAGATCGAAACAATAAACCAGGACTGATTTGATGAAAATGACCCGGAAATCAATGTAATCCTCGATGAAAAACGTGCTGCTTTTACTGACTGGCAGAATAACCCTCAGTCTCGAGCCAAAGCTGATACCTTCCCACAAGAAGAAAACTGGCGCCCAGTGGGAACTTCGTAATCCAAAGAACGACTGGTTTAAGTGAAACACAAAAACTTGCAGATCAGCACAAGATGCGCGAATTTTTAAATTCCATTAAAACACTTTATAGGCCAACCACTCATGGCGCAGCCCCCCTCTGCTCATCCGAAGGCAGTTTAATAATTAAAGATAAAGCCATCCTTCAGTGCTGGAAAGAGCACGACCATTCACTGCTCAACCGAAACACCGACTTGGATGTCCTGACTACCCAGCAGGTCCCTCAGCACCCAGAGCTGACCCACCTCAGCTACCCTCCATCCCTGGATGAGGTAGCTACTGCCATCAAACAGATGAAAAACAACAAAGCCTCAGGGCCTGATGGAATCCCAACTGAGGTGTATAAAGCAGAAGGACATCTGCTTACCAGCTGTCTCCACTCTCTCCTGGAGAATATACGGGAAAAGGAGGAAATCCCCCAAGCTCTTAAGGACGCCTCCATGGTCAATATTTATAAGAACAAGGGAGACCGGTCAGACTGTGGCAACTACCCCGGGATCTTGCTGTCCGTAGCTGGCAAGATTATCGCTCGAGTTCTTCTAAACAGACTTCTTCCTGAGGCTGAAAACTTCCTCCCAGAATCTTAATGTGGCCTTAGACCATCATGTGGCACCACTAACATGATCTTTGCTGCCCCCCAGATACAGGAAAATTGCAGAGAACAGCGCGGGACCTGTACATGGCCTTCATCGACCTAACCAAGGCCTTCGACTTGGTCAACAGGGAAGCCCTCTGGTGGACCAAAATTCATCGTTATTATTAGGCAATTCCACGACGGCATGAACGGCAGTGTCCTGCACAATGGCACCGAGTTTGAGTTCTACCTCATCCAAACAGGGATTAAACAAGGGTGCGCACTGGAACCAACTCTCTTTTCCATTTTCTTAGCTGCCTTCCTTACTCGTACCAGCACCTATTTAGCCAGCGGGGTGGACATCGAGTACCGGGTGAAGGAGGGTCTTTTCAAAATAAGACGACTACAGGCAAGGATAAAGGTATCGGCAGCTTCCATTACTGAACTTAAGTATACAGACGACCTCACCTTTGTTGCTCACACGGAACACCTACGAATGCGTATGCACACTTCGGCCTTTAGGTGAATGTACGTAAGACTCAGATTCTCTTTCAACCTGCCCCTAGTTCAGACACACCTCCACCACCCATCCAGCTTAACGGTATTACACTGTCTAATGTTACCCACTTTCAATATCTCGGCTCCCACCTGTCCACCACCGCAGACATTGATGGCGAGATTCAGCATCGGATCAGATGTGCATCTCAAGCCTTTAGCAGACTCCGAAACCGTGTCTTCAGCTGTAGGGAGCTGAAATTATCTACAAAGGCTGCATTTATATCGAGCAGTGATCCTCCCTACCCTGCTATCTGGCAGTAAGACATGGGGTATGTAGGAGGCACCTCAGGCACTTGAAAACTTTCACCAACGTAGCCCTCGTTCCATCATCCGTGTTAGCTAAGACAAGAGAACAAATTCCAGTATTCCTGCTGACACCAACTGTAGGAGCATCGGGCTACCATTTTCCTCAGACAACTCGCTGGACTGGCCATGTTGCGAATGGATGACAGTAGACTACCAGAGCAGCTACTACAGACACCTAACGAATAGTGCGTAACATGGCGGGCAATTGGCGATATAAGAATTGTCTTAAGGCAAACCTGAAAAAGGCTTAATCGACCCCTCACCTGGGAGTCGATTTAATCCATCGTAATGCTTGGAGGAGCACCACACGGTGTCAATACTTTCGGTTAGCCCGATTGCAAACCGAGGCAGACAGCGTCACGCCGGAAAGACGCTGCCATCGCCCTTCCGCTACTGTAGATGCAGCCTCCCATATTACACGAATGTGATTGTGAACGATTCTGCGGTTTGCGATGGCCGCTAGTCACCTCAAAACTCACCAACCTAGGTGACATCCTTAATAACTTCGTATCATTGTATCATAGCTGGATGATCGTCATGCCGATTAGGAGTGACAGCAAAGTAGTAGTTTGTAGTAGTAGTAGTAGTAGTAGTAGTAGAAGACTAACTAATCCAGAGGAGATTGCAGCCACGAACATCAAAATTCCTTAAGCTCACGGCAGCCCTCACGGACCCTATGGCCACGCAGCAGGAGGTCGAGACCAGTGAAATAGCGAGATTCGTAGGTCCATTATGACAGATCGACAGCACTGCCAAAATGATAAGTTGCAGCAACTGTTGCTGCAGGTTCCAGAAAAATTTGAAAAAAGTAGCTATAGCGCGGGAGGTGGGCGCCTCGAACTGGTTAACTGCGTTACCGATTAGGGCAAATGGTTTCAGTCTTAACAAACAGAATTTACAGATGCCATTGCTCTAAAGAACGGATTCGGCCAGTAGAATGTTTGCCACTGCGTGTGTGGCTCTTCCTAGCGTGATCACGCCATGGTGTATTAAGAAAGGGGCTTCATATGCATGAGGCATGACAGTAAGGACCTTACAGCAAATTATGCTGAAGGAAATCTGCAGGGTGTCATGGTAGAACCGACCCTCCTTCCATTGGATGGTGAGACCTTCCAACATAGGACTTTAAACATCTAAGCCGTGTTGGCGTCAGTGCTCGAGGATTCTGGGCCTGGGAACAGCGAGCTTTCTTCGACATCAGGATTTTTGATCCCATGGCCGCATGTCACGTAACCTAGCTCGATGCACATAGGAGAGCAGAACAACAAGATAGGGCATATGGAGAGAGAATTCAAAAGCGTTGATCAAGGCAGCTTCACTCCCCAGTGTTCACAACCTCTGGTAGGATGGGACCAAGTGCAAGATGTTTCTACCCCAGACTCATGAGTTGATCTCCGAACAAACAGCAGCCCAGTTATGTTACAGCCTGGATGAGATGTCGACTGTCCTTCTCTCTCTCTTGATTGTTTGCTCTGCCTCAGGGGAACGAGAGCTTCTGCCCCAACTCCGACAACTGCTACAGATATTGACTATGAGGCTACTGTCACTGAATGCCACATAGATCTGCGGCTCAACTAATTTAACACAGATAGGATAGCTACTTATGTATTAAGATATTTAATGTTAAAGTAATTAAATGGTGGCGAAGGTGTGGCTATTGGAGGAGGCTGGAGGCTACGATTTAAAAAAAAAAAAAAAAAAAAAAAAAAAAAGTAATACTGTAGTAGTAGTAGTGTGTGTGTGTGTGTGTGAAATGGTAAAATAATGATCAAAGAGATACATAAATTAATAAACAACGAGGATAAAAATACATGAATAAAAAGACAATATATATAGATATCTACACATAATTTATTCATTGTATGGCAACATTTACAATATTTGTTTCTCATTGGCTGTCTGTCTGTCTCGACATGACTGGCGGGCCACCACTCAAGATGCCACCACGGAAGAACACGAAACATTCTCACATCACCGCAATATATCACAAACGCCTCACAGACAATAGCCAGGAGGGTATCACACCATGAAGACATTAGCAATAACACGTTAATATTTTCCCGTCAATTTCATAAAAAAAATAAAAATAAAAATTACGTAACTAAATTTAATGATCTTTGAATGTTATGCAGAGGTAAGTTAGGTTTGGTTTTGTTCGTTAATTTTGTTTGTTTTTTGTTTTTAAATGGGATAACGTATATGTTTCTGGTAGTGAGTGTGCTGAGGCGTCATACTTCATGGTATAATATCCACCTCATAAAAAATATTAGACTCTCCTGAAATATAACAGTATACAATTATCTCTTTCATGGGACACTCCAAATTGGCAAAAAAAAAAAAAAAAAATACTCTTCCTCTGATGCCGCTCATCGATTGGCCAAAAAAAATACCTCTTCTGATGCCGCTCGTTGATTGACCAAAAAATACCTGTCTCTGATGCCGCTCGTTGATTGCCCCCCCCCTCAAAAAAACCCTTATCCTCTGACGCTGTTTGTTCAGTGGCCAATTGTTTTTAAAGGCTACTCCTGATTGGCCAGTACCTCTCATATACAGCTATTCTTAATTGGCCAAATACCTCCTAAGGCCCCTCGTGACTGGCCAGTGCCTGACCAGCAAGCTTATACCTGTTCTACCTGTATGGCAAAGTCACATTAGTCCTCTGATATACACTGACTCACCCTGTATGTACACACAGTCACTATGTACAACAACCTCGTGCATGTATGTATGTATGTATGTATGTATGTATAACGATAACCAAAATGGTCACTGATCAACACAATCCCACGACCGCTAAACTAGTAACTATTCACACAACTCAAACTAACCTAACCTCACCCAACCCAATTGAAACTAGCAGTCTGTAAGTTAGATTAAGTTGGATGGCTTAAATCACCTTAAGATTATTACCCCTAGATTATATCACCTGATGAATATACACCCTAACGTTACCTGGGGTGGGGGTTAGGTTAGGTTACCGTCAGGATGGTTAGTTTTAAGGTGAAATAAGTTAGGGGCTAATCTTCAGGTGATCATTTTTGTCAACTGTTTTAAAAGGAACAATTGTTTAACAGCCCAATTCATGAAGATTACCTACATTGACCATACTGCTTGTTTCACCAGGTATGTGTGGGGACGTCGGGGTGGATGGTGAAATACTAATTTGTTTCATTATAACGACCATATTATCGAACTACTGAGTTTCATTAGTTAGCCCCAAACTATGACCTAAGTCACATATTAGAGAAAATGGACAAATTCCTGATATATTATAGAAAACAGAAAAATTTAACCGTAAACTAAATAAAATAGTAGTTATTGGGGTATATGCAGTATAATCAGATCTCTAACACTACTTAACGGTTTGGTTTGCATATAAAAGTAGTTTTCCCACTATTCTGACAGTCTTGTTTGGGGCTTCATTTGTTGAAAAGTATCGGTAATGAGTGACAAGCATGTGTACTGTTGTGATGACCATAAGTCTTTGGTGGCGTTACTGGAGGACTCGAGTATGGCAATACACGAGAGTGATATGTCACGTTAGTAGTGAAGTTGTAACTATACAGTATATGTTCACGCAGACCTTCACTCAGCCACACTATTTTATATGCAGCTTTGATTCCAGTTTCTCAAAGCTTCATACTTACATTTTCCCTCAAGTGGAGGTTTTAAAACGTATCTCACAAGATCACTAAAGCTACGTCAAACAGACGACCTGACCAAAATGGCGTTAAAAATGCAGTGTAAATTCTACCATAACTAGAGGCGGTCTAATACCAGTGAAGGAAGAGCGCTAACTTGACGAACCTTTGAGAATCTGGGGTCTGAAAATCTATTTATTGTCAGACTGTTAGATCACTTTATGAGCACATAGTTCAGTATACACAATGATGATTAATATATATTATATGTTACGGACCAACTATATCTTATCTGCTTAAGGCAGACTAAAGAAGGGGGGTTTATATTTATATATGTAATATATATCATAATTTAAGAGATTATATATTGTAAAATATGTGTGAGATCCAAGTTTACAAGACATTCAAGGCAAGAGTTAGGTTTTTCTTAAAGTCCCTGACACCTTCTGGTGAATTCTGAATTTCTATTGGCTAGGGCAGCACCATAAGCGTCTCCTATTGGTTACTGCAGCGCCATGGGCTTCTCTGTTTAGTCAAAGTAGCACCATGACGACACTGCAGCCCATTAAGTTGCTCTGATTGGCCACTGCAGCACCACGGGCTTCTCTGATTGGACGGTCATCATCACCTCATGTCACATATCGAACCACAGTCCACAGATCCTGTGGTATCTTTAAGGCAGTTTTATTCATCACCGACACTGAATTGAGCTAAGTCAAGGCTCGGGACCGAGGGAAGGCAGACAAGTCCAATTGCCTGCCATAAAATGAGCACAAAGTTCCCCTGGTAACAAAAGAAGATAATAAAGGCTTCAACACTGGGAATATGCGAGACTCTACACTACAATGGCACACAACCTGAAACAGCAGCAACAGGAACTGGTTATGGATGACAGCGTTGTGGTTAAGTGTTTCACCTCGTAGCCTTGTTTGTTGTGGCCTTGAGGTACACCAGTCACCACCTTGCAAGGACACACACAAGTATACTTTTCCTTAACACAATATTTGTATGTTTACTGAGCTGAAGAGAAGCCAGTTGTATGTCTGGCGTGTGAAAGACAAGACACCACGTTATTATTCACAGATAAAAGCTTTTTTAGCACAGTTCACCTGGAGCTTCGTGGCATCAGGGCCTTGTAGACCAGCATCTGTGATTCTCCAGGTGTCTTACACAAGAGGTTCAGGCGAAGTCACTGAAGAGTCGACCAATATAAGTCTTCCTTCTTCGTCACAGGAACCTTTTGTTTGGAAGTTGACGACGAACTCTGAACAGTGATCTGGCGAAGCTTCCGGTGCCTGATATGGTGAATTTAGCGTTTGCTGCATATCTGAAGAGATTGTCACGAGTTGAACCCGTACATGTTCACGTAAAGATCCTCGAATTACTGACAACTGATGACTTTGGGCCCTAAAAATGGGCCCTTTAAGGGCCTATTGTTGGTGACCCGTTTTTGCAGGTTTGGTGACATGAGGACTTTTTGATCCTCGAGTTGGTGATTTATGAAACCTAGATTTAATAACGTCAGGACTCTCAAGGTGGTGAGTTCTGGGGCCCATGGATGGTGACTTTTGAACCTTTGAGCCGAGCACCTCCAGACCCTGCTTTTGTTGACCTTTGAAGCCTCGAGTTGGTGATTTCTCAACCTTGGGGCTGTTGCCGTCCCTGCCCTGGCCTGGTGACTTTTGGCTTCTGGACATAGGGACCTCTAGGCTCTGGAACTGGTGACTAGCCGACCCTGGGGTGGTGGGCTCGTCTTGGCGACCACTTGACTCTTGTATAGGAGACCAGTGCACCCTTGGTTGTCTGACTTTGGACCTTGAGCTAGATACCGCTGGACTATCAACATGGTGACTGATAGACCTTGGGACTAGGGGTCCAGGAGGTTTGGTGCCTGGGATTTGTGGAGGTTGGAGATGGTGAGGTGTTTGGGACTGGTGAGCGGAGGAGGGTGTGGCCAACTGCTGGAGCTGATGGGAGCGTCGGGCTCCCTGATGCAGCTTCCAGCAGTGTTTACAATGCTAGTCGTAATACTTTCCTTTTTGTGAGAGCCAGATGTGGCGGTGCTGTGGAGGAGGGAAAGACAGTGTTAGTAAATACATAAAGTAAACTAATAACTAAATGTTGTTGGAAATTAATTAATAGTTGACTAAAAGATATACTCCTTCCACCCTTTCCCTCCTCTTACACCCTCTCCTTGTGTCATCTTTACCACTCAGTTCCCCTTCCCTCCCTCTCTCCTTCCCTATCACTTCATTCCTTACTTCTGCCAACGACCCATTCACATTATTCTCTCATCTCCCTCTCTTCATACCCCTCTCATCTCCCTCTCTTCATACCCCTCTCATCCACCTTACTCAATGTCTCTCTTTTCCAATCCCTACCTCTTTCCCATATTCTACTCTCCCTCTCTCCAGTTAACCATTCCATCTCTTCCATTATTTCTTTCCTATTGCCTTCCCACAATCGTCTCCTTTCCTCTCCTAACTCACCCGGCCCTCCACTTCCCTTCCCCCTTGCTATCTTTACTTCTTTCTTTGCCTCACTCCTCCCCTCCCCCCAAACATCTCCCTTGTTCTGCTTTCTCCTCCACACACTCATCGCCTCACCCTCTCCCACACCTCCCTCACAAGATATAACACCTCCCACACTCTCTCAAACCTTCCTTACCCTCACCCACCCCACCTACTCACCACGAGCTCAGCGCCCTGGTAGAACTCGGGCATCTCTCTCTCCTTAATGCTCTGATAGAGGGAGAGAACCAGCACAAAGGAGAGAATCATGAGAATTACCACAGCTACCACGAACATGACTGCCCACCAGTACCTCGGCATCGCTACCAACTCATGCTGTGGAGGGAAGAGAAGAGACAAGCCAATGAGTTTAATAATTATAGTGGTGATCCAAGCTAGTGAGTTTTGGGTTTATCTAGGGAGGTATAGTGTTGGTTTATCTAGGGAGGTATAGTGTTGGTTTATGTTGGGAAGTATAGTGTTGGTTTATGTTGGGAAGTATAGTGTTGGTTTATGTTCAGAAGTATGGTGTTGGTTTATGTTGGGAAGTATAGTGTTGGTTTATGTTGGGAAGTATAGTGTTGGTTTATGTTGGGCAGTATAGTGTTGGTTTATGTTGGGAAGTATAGTGTTGGTTTATGTTGGGAAGTATAGTGTTGGTTTATGTTGGGAAGTATAGTGTTGGTTTATGTTGGGAAGTATGGTGTTGGTTTATGTTGGGAAGTATAGTGTTGGTTTATGTTGGGAAGTATAGTGTTGGTTTATGTTGGGAAGTATAGTGTTGGTTTATGTTGGGAAGTATAGTGTTGGTTTATGTTGGATGTTTCACGCACAACGTAATACTTGTTGAATTTATCAAATAAACTTTCACTAATACTCGGGTACACATACTACTGTTAGAGACCAAGTGTAAGCCTTAACTAAGGACCCTCCTGAAAATAAGCACCTGGCAACATTCTCGGTTATCCTTGGTCAAGTTGCCTTACTGTTTACCATTGTTGTTCACCTGTAATGTTTCGGCACACAGGAAACTATATACTCCCATGGCCTACGTGCACCGTATACCTACATTGTCTATATTCGTGCTGCACTGTATAAGTCTATAGTTTATATACATGCCTATCGTATGGTAAACCCATGTGACAATTTTAACTGAATTTTTATTGTTATTATTATTATTATTATTATTATTATTATTATTATTATTATTATTATTAAATAACCACAGGTGAATATAGAGATCAGCAGTAAAACAAACACAACACCTCATACGTCACCACCTATTCATCGGTACACAAACACACACACACACACACACACTGATACAGACACATGCACACTTATGACACAGGTTTAAACACACACACACACACACATAAAACATCACGACCAATATGTTTTGCTCTACTACTGTTAACTACCACCGTACCTGCAATACCAGTTATGCAAAATAGTACGTACATACTGTATTAACGTCAAGAAGTAAAACATTCATAATTTAACCCACAAGGCGTCTGTCACATTGTCTGGTCACCACCCATCATATCTCACTTGGACTTATAAGTTAATATAGTAATATAGTATCACCTATCAGGATTAATATCAACGTTTAAGGTACAGAACATTTAATTATCAAGGCGAGTAATCAATGCTTCTATTTGTGAGACAGTCAGGAAAAACTAGTGTTGCCTGCAATCATTTGGAACTGTGTCCCGAAGACCATATTAAAATTACGAATTACTAGTACTTTATGTATTATCTGCGGTAATTGTTTACATATGTATACATGTACTGTGTGAATGTTTACTGGATAAATTCAAATCAAATCAAACAAGAATGGATGGAGAAGGACCGTGAGGTTGAGGCAGTTACTCGTGTATTTGGTTCATTTTCTTTGTATACCTAACACTTATTTTAAGGGGAACTCATTGATTTTTTTTCCACAATATTATATGTTTCTGATATTTTGATGATCACACCGCCGGTTATCTAAATATACAGCCACTACTTTGGTTTTTCACATTTGATATCATGTTCAGGAAACGTCCAGGACTTTATAAACAGTTATTAAAAGGAATGATATTTGGTACGTATACTGTATATATTGATCTTTACTTGTAAAATTCTTCATAAAAAATGTATCCTTACCAATGATATAAATAATTTTGTTCTCAAATACCTGGATGTTTCTGTAACATCATACAATCTTATAATTTGCCGTAAACTTACTTATCAATCGAATCCTAGTCGCTTAACGAATTCATTAAATCTATGTTTTAAGTACTCGCTCCAGAAAGTATCTTTATAATTTTGTGTAAGACAATATGACACAACAGATGAAAGATTTTAACAACCCTACCCGGGACAACAGGAGTCACAGTATTCATTTTGAAATTCATCGGACACCTCAGTAAAGATACCTTCTCGAGCGAGTAGCATAAAGTTAAATAAAGATTATTTTATTGGAGATAGGTAGAGAGATGGATTATTTATTCAGTAAAATCATATTGTATGATTACATTGACTCAGCAAGTACAGACAGTGCCAGATTAACCATGAGGCAATTGCCTCAGGGCCTCCACAAAAAGGGGCCCCACAATTCCCCCCCCCCCCTCCAATTTTAAAGTTTTTTGTTTTTGTTTTCATGCTACGTCATAGTACTTGAATAAATATAATAATATATAAGTTAACATGCAGATAACATCATAACATGTAAACAATAAACATAGCACTAGTGGTTATTTTGAAACACGGTCAAGTCCTTTCTCATGGCAAAATATTATTAATGTGCACCTAAATAGAGCATCTGATGGTGATGTTATCGGGGGAGGATTAACATGAGTGACGTCAGTAAGGTGGCAACCTTTCAAACACTCCACGCCGCTGCCGCTGTGTTTGTTTATAACACTTTATTGTGTGCTCTCTATTACTCTTTCTCTGTTGATGGGATATTCGTCTGTTTCATCTCAATAAATGTGGTGTTGTTAATTGTTGGTAAGTATTGTGCATAGTTAATATCATTTTACACAGGCCTATAAGTTTTCTGTAACCATTTCGTGCACACATTCACAGCACGGTGATCAGGCCACCAAGGGACGTGTTCTCAGTTGTTGAGCTAATGGCCTTTTGTATGGCGGGGTTGTGGAGGTAACACAACTTAAATCAGTGAATATGATCTGAGTGTAAAATGTGAATATCTTGTAGATGTGAATTCATACGATCTGGAGAGAAAAATTGCTATGGAATTGCTTCAGTTTTTCTATTTTGTAAGATAACTTTTGTCTGCCAAGACAAAAAAAAGTTGATCCTTGAATACTTTATGTTCAAAATAATTCGTGATCAGAAACTAGAATCAACAATTCCAAACACAGACATACTTCTACAGCCTTATCCGAGTCTTATGGTAACAAATTACGTACTCTAGAGAAAGGTCATTTACCAAACTGAAATGTGTGAAAATTTGTCTCTGATCAACTATGACTCAAAAAATATGAGTTAATCTGGCACTTATGAGTATATGAACCATGATGTACTAGATAACACTGATTTCGACAAGCTCATCAAAACATTTTCTGATAAAAGGCACGGAAAGTTTTAATGCACCAATTTTAGAATATAATGTGATGTCAAAGAAAGTTTAATTTACGTTCATTTTGCTCGTCTGTTCTTTATAGACTAATACATATTAACAAAGTATACAATTTACTGATATATTTCGACTACTAACCTACCACCACTTAAATTTAGTCTGCGAAATTGGCTTACGTTCATACATACCAGAGGAAATTCTACGTGTAGCTTGTAGGAGAAAGTAAAGTAATTTTTATTTAATTTATACGGAAGAGCCTCCACAAGCATATTCCCTCAGGGCCTCCACCTACCTCAATCCGGCCCTGAGTACAGATATAGTACAAGTATACATATAATAGTAACCAGTAATTTAATAAACATGAAAATATCCCAAGACAGCCACCATATGTTTATTAATCCAGTGTTAATAGAAAGAGATGAACTAATAAAAGAGGTACTGACCCAGAGAACGAGGCCAAACAAGGCTATGGTGAGGAAGATTGTGATCCACTGCACCACCATCCACGGTAACAACATCCATGGCGTCTCCTGAGGGCATAGAGTAATGTCACGGGTCAAACACAAGAGCGGTAGAAGATAGGAGTCTCCACCTAACCTAACCTAACCTAATTAAAAGTAGCAAACTTCACCGAACATCATGACCTAGCAAGACCCCTTATGACCCAATATGAACCTAGCAAGACTCTTTATGACCCAATATGAACCTAGCAAGACCCCTTATGACCCAGTATGACCTAGCAAGACCTCATATGACCCAATATATCCTGCAAGACCTTTTATAACCCAATATGAACCTAGCAAGACCCTTTATGACCCAATATGAACCTAGCAAGACCTCTTAGGGCCCAATATGAACCTAGTAAGACCCCTTATGACCCAGTATGACCTAGCAAGACCTCATATGACCCAATATATCCTGCAAGACCTTTTATAACCCAATATGAACCTAGCAAGACCCTTTATGACCCAATATGAACCTAGCAAGATCCCTTATGACCTAGCAAGACCCTTTATGACCCAATATGAACCTAACAAGACCCTTTATGAACCCAATATGACCTAGCGAGACCTCTATGACCCAATATGACCTAGCAAGACCCCTTATGACCCAATATGAACCTAGCAAGACCCTTATGACCCAGTATGACCTAGCAAGACCTCTTATGACCCAATATATCCTGCAAGACCTTTTATAACCCAATATGAACCTAGTAAAGACCCTTTATGACCCAATATGAACCTAGCAAGACCCCTTATGACCCAATATGACCTAGCAAGACCCTTTATGACCCAATATGAACCTAGCAAGACCCTTTATGAACCCAATATGAACCTAGCAAGATCCCTTATGACCCAATATGACCTAGCATGACCAATATAACCCCTCCTCCCCCCTCCACCCTTTACGACGGAGAATAAGAACTAACCCTGAAAGCACCAATGACTAGTAGAACGTCGACCACAGTGCACACGAACATGAAGAGCAGTGTAGCTATGATGGTCCACTCTATGTACATGAGTTCAGGGTCACCCAAGTTCAGTTCAGTTTCTCCTGTAGGTATATAACACACGATTAGCGATTGGTTAGGATTAGCGAGTGATTGGTCATGAAGGGATTGGTTAGGATTCAAGGGTTATTGGTTATGATTCAGGGGGATTGGTTATGAAGGGATTGGTTAGGATTCAGGGGGGTTAGTTAGAATTCAGGGGTTATTGGTTATGAAAGGATTGGTTAGGATTCAGGGAGGATTGGTTAGAATTAGCGAGGGGTTGGTTAGGATTCTGAATGGATTGGTTAGAATTTGGGAGAATTTAGTCGGGATTGGTTTAAGATTCGCGACGGACTTACTATAGGGATTGGTTAATATTCAGAGGGTCTCAATAAGGGTTGATTAACCGGAAGGGATTGGGTAGAAGTTTGCTAATATTAGATCAGGAATTAGTTTAAAATCTGGTTAAAATTATCACACGAAATTAATAAAAAAAAATTAGTATATTAAAAAATCTAATAAAAATTGAACACATATTTTGGGATTAGATTTGATTAGAACTGGCTAGGGCTTGGCTAGGATCAACAGGGGTTGGCAGGAACGTGGCTAAGGGATTGGCTGTTAGTGTGTTTGCACTGGCGCGTCCCAGCAACAGTTACAGCTGGTAGTCGATAAATTAGTTGCTGGTTGGTTGCTAAGTACTTTACGTTGTTATCTCTCTCTCTCTCTCTCTCTCTCTCTCTCTCTCTCTCTCTCTCTCTCACCTCATCTCTATCCTCACCTCTCTCTATCTCTCACTTCAATCGCTATCCCTCACCTCTATCTCTCTCTCTCACCTCTATTCTCCACCTCACCACTATCTCTCTCCTCACCTCAATCTCTCTCCCTCACCTCTATCTCTCTCCCTCACCTCAATCTCTCTCCCTCACCTCTATCTCTATCCTCACCTCTATCTCTATCTCTCACCTCAATCGCTATCCCTCACCTCTATCTCTCTCTCTCACCTCTATTTCTCTCTCACCACTATCTCTCCCTCACCTCAATCTCTCTCCCTCACCTCTATCTCTCTCCCTCACCTAGTCTCTCTCCCTCACCTCAATCTCTATCCCTCCTCTATCTCTATCTCTCACATCTTTCTCTCACCCTCACCACTATCTCTCACCCTCACCACTATCTCCCTCACCTCATCTCTCACCTCACCTCAATCTCTCTCCCTCACCTCTATCTCACCCTCCTCAATCTCTCTCCCTCACCTCATCTCTATCCCTCCCTCTATCTCTATCTCATCTATCTCTCACCTCACCACTATCTCTCACCCTCACCACTATCTCTCTCCCTCACCTCAATCCTATCCCTCACCTCTATCTCTATCTCTCACATCTATCTCTCTCCCTCACCTCAATCCTATCCCTCACCTCTATCTCTATCTCTCACATCTATCTCACCCTCACCACTATCTCTCAACCTCACCTCTATCTCTCACCCTCACCACTATCTCTCTCCCTCACCTAATCTCTCTCCATCACCTCTATCTCTCTCCCTCCTCAATCTCTCCCTCACCTCAATCTCTATCCCTCACCTCTATCTCTATCTCTCATCTATCTCACCCTCACCACTATCTCTCTCCCTCACCTCAATCTCTCTCCCTCACCTCAATCTCTATCCTCACCTCTATCTCTATCTCTCACATCTATCTCTCTACCCTCACCACTATCTCTCACCCTCACCACTATCTCTCTCCCTCACCTCTATCTCTCTCCCTCACCTCAATCTCTCTCCCTCACCTCAATCTCTATCCCTCACCTCTATCTCTATCTCTCACATCTATCTCTCACCCTCACCACTATCTCTCACCCTCACCACTATCTCTCACCCTCACCACTACCTCTCACCCTCACCTCTATCTCTCCTCACCTCAATCTCTCTCCCTCCACTCAATCTCTATCTCTCACCACTATCTCTCACCCTCACCACTATCCTCACCTCACCTCTATCTCTATCTCTCATCTATCTCTCACCCTCTCCACTATCTCTCACCCTCACCACTATCTCTCACCCTCACCACTACCTCTCCCCTCACCTCTATCTCTCTCCCTCACCTCAATCTCTCTCTCCCTCACCTCAATCTCCATCTCTCACATCTATCTCACCCTCACCACTATCTCTCACCCTCACCCACTATCTCTCTCCCTCACCTCTATCTCTCTCCCTCAACCTCAATCTCTCTCCCTCACCTCAATCTCTGTCCTCACCTATATCTCTATCTCTCATCTATCTCTCACCCTCACCACTATCTCTCACCCTCACCACTATCTCTCCCCTCACCCATCTCTCTCCCTCACCTCTATCTCTCTCCCCTCAACCTCAATCCTCTCCCTCACCACAATCTCTATCCCTCACTATATCTCTATCTCTCACATCTATCTCACCCTCACCACTATCTCTCACCCTCACCACTATCTCACCCTCACCACTATCCCTCCCCTCACCTCTATCTCTATCTCTCACCCTCACCACTATCTCACCCTCACCACTATCTCTCTCACCCTCACCACTATCCCTCACCCTCACCTCTATCTCTATCTCTCACCCTCACCTCTATCTCTATCTCTCACCCTCACCACTATCTCTCCCTCCACCTCAATCTCTCTCCCTCACCTCTATCTCTCACCCTCACCACTATCTCACCCTCCACCACTATCTCTCACCCTCACCACTGTCTCTCACCCTCACCACTGTCTCTCTCACCCTCACCACTTCTCTCTCACCCTCACCACTATCCCTCACGTTCACCTCTATCTCTATCTCTCACATCTATCTCTCACCCTCACCACTATCTCTCACCCTCACCACTATCTCTCTCCCTCCCCAATCTCTATCTCACCCTCACACTATCTCTCTCCCTCACCTCAATCTCTATCCCTCACCTCTATCTATCTCTCCTCTATCTCTCACTCACCACTATCTCTCTCTCCTCAATCTCTATCCCTCACCTCTATCTCTATCTCTCACATCTATCTCTCACCCCTCACCACTATCTCTCACCCTCACCTCTATCTCTATCTCTCACTCACTATCTCTCTCCCTCCCTCAATCTCTCTCCCTCACCTCTATCTCTCACCCTCACCACACTCTCTCACCCTCAATCTCTATCTCACCTCAATCTCTATCCCTCACCTCTATCTCTATCTCTCACCTACCCACTATCTCTCACCTCACCACTATCTCTTCTCTCTCTCCCTCACTCTCTATCCCTCACATCCTCCTCTCACCCTCACCACTATCTCTCACCTCACCACTATCTCTCACCCTCACCATATCTCTATCTCTCCTCAATCTCTCACCCTCACCTCAATCTCTATCCTAACCTCTATCTCTATCTCTACGTCTATCTCTCACCCTCACCACTCTCTCACTCACCCACTATCTATCTCTCCCTCCCTCAATCTCTATCCCTCACCTCTATCTCTATCTCTCACATCTATCTCTCACCCTCACCACTATCTCTCACCCTCACACTATCTCTATCTCTCCCTCACCTCAATCTCTATCCTCACATCTATCTCTCACCTCACCTCTATCTCTCCCTCACCCTCTATCTCTATCTCTCTCCCTCACCTCAATCTCTATCCCTCACATCTATCTCTCCCCTCACCTCATCTTTATCTCACCTCAATCTCCCTCACCTCTATCTCTATCTCTCACATCTATCTCTCTCACCCTCACCACTATCTCTCTCCTCTCCTCTATCTCTCACCTCCTCTATCTCTCACCCTCACCACTATCTCTATCTCTCTCCCTCACTCCAATTCTATCTCTCACCTCAATCTCTATCCCTCACCTCTATCTCTATCTCTCACATCTATCTCTCACCCTCACCACCATCTCTCTCTCCCTCACCACCTCTCTCTCCTCACCTCTATCTCTCACCTCACCACAGTCTCTCACCCTCACCTCAATCTCTATCTCTCACCTCAATCTCTATCCCTCACCTCCATCTCTATCTCTCCCTCAATCCTCTCTCACCTCATCCCTCACTCACCACTATCTCTCACCCTCACCTCTATCTCTCACCCTCACCACTATCTCTATCTCTCCTCAATCTCTCACCCTCACCTCTATCTCTCACCGTCACCACTATCTCTCACCCCTCACCTCTCTCTCACCCCTCACCTCAATCTCTCTCCCTCACCTCAATCTCTCACCCTCACCTCTGTCTCTCCCTCACCACTGTCTCTCACCCTCCTCTATCTCTCACCCTCTCCTCTCTCTCTCCCTCACCTCAATCTCTCACCCTCACCTCTATCTCTCACCCTCACCTCTATCTCTCCCCCTCACCTCTATCTCACCTAACCTCTCTCTCTCTCCCTCACCTCAATCTCACCCTCACCACTGTCTCTCTCCCTCTCCTCAATCTCCCTCACCCTCACCTCTCTCTCTCCTCCTCAATCTCTCACCCTCACCTCTCTCTCTCTCCCTCTCCAATCTCTCACCCTCACCTCTCTCTCTCTCCCTCACCTCAATCTCACCCTCACTCTCTCTCACTCCTCTATCTCTCACCTCACCACTGTCTCTCCTCACCTCAATCTCTCACCCTCACCACTATCTCACCCCTCTACCTCTCTCTCTCACCCTCACCACTATCTCTCCCTCACCAATCTCTCACTCACCTATCTCTCACCCTCACCTCTCTCTCACCCCCTCACCACTGTCTCTCTCCCCACCTCTCTGTCTCACCCTCACCACTATCTCTCTCCCTCACCTCAATCTCTCACCCTCACCACTATCTCTCACCCTCCTCCAATCTCTCACCCTCACCACTTCTCACCCTCACCTCTCTCTCTCACCCTCACCACTATCTCTCTCCTCCCCACCTCAATCTCTCACCCTCACCACTATCTCTCACCCTCACCTCTCTCTCACCCTCACCACTGTCTCTCACCCCTCACCTCAATCTCTCACCCTCACCACTATCTCTCACCCTCTCTCTCTCTCACCTCACCACTATCTCTCACCCTCACCTCTCTCTCTCACCTCACCTCAATCTCTCCCACACTCTCTCTCCTCACCTCAATCTCTCACTCACCTCTCTCTCTCACACCCTCACCACTGTCTCTCTCCCTCACCTCAATCTCTCACCCTCACCACTATCTCTCCCTCACCTCAATCTCTCACCCTCACCCTATCTCTCCCTCTCTCTCTCTCACCCTCACCACTGTCTCTCTCCCTCACCTCAATCTCTCACCCTCCACCACTGTCTCTCTCCCTCACCTCAATCTCACCCTCACCCACTATCTCTCACCCTCACCTCTCTCTCTCACCCTCACCATTGTCTCTCTCCCTCACCTCTCTCTCTCACCCCTCACCACTGTCTCTCTCCACTCACCTCAATCTCTCTCCCTCACCTCAATCTCACCCTCCACCACTATCTCTCACCCTCACCTCTCTCCTCTCACCCTCACATCTCTCACCCTCACCTCTCTCTCTCACCCTCCCCACTCTCTATCTCTCACCCAATCTCTCACCCTCACCACTGTCTCTCCCTCACCTCAATCTCACCCTCACCTCTATCTCTCACCCTCACCACTGTCTCTCTCCTCACCTCAATCTCTATCTCCCTCTCACCTCTCTATCTCTCACACAGAGGCCCTCTCACCTGTACCAGTACCATTAATGCCAAAGATTATGTTGTTCCTCTCACTTCCCTCACCTGTGCCAGTACCTTAAACATCATAGACTTTGATTGGGTTTCTCCCTCTCACTGCCCTCTCACAGCCCTCTCACCTGTGCCAGTACCTTTAGTGCCATAGATTTTTGATTGACGGGGGTTCTCTCTCTCTCTCTCACTCCCCTCTCCCGCCTCTCACCTCTCACACGTACCATTAGTGCCGTAGACTTTGATTGGGTTTTCTAAGTCCTGGTAGGTGTTGTAGGCTGTCTGTAGGACCTGGTCGAGGTGTTCCGCCGTCACCAGTAATACACACATGGCCCCGCCCCCCAAGCTCAGTACCTGGTGGACCGTAGGGAGAGTTAGTAGTAGTAGTAGTAGTAATAATAATAATAATAATTCTACTACTACAACTACAACAACTAATACTACAACTTATTTTTATACGTGGCCTCCATCCTCCCCCAATAGCCACACCTTCGCCGTCATTTTAGTATCTTAAAATTAACTATCCTAATACATAAGTAGCTACCCTAGCTGTGTTGAGTTAGTTGAGCCGCAGATTGTTGTCGGCTTTGGGGCCGATGCTCTCGTTCCCCTGGGGCAGAGCAAAGCCGACTGAAGGAGAGAGAAGGACAGTCGACATCTCATCCAGGATGCAACATAACTTCTGGGCTGCTGCTTCTGTTCAGTCACCCCCGCGAGTCTAGCGTAGAAGCATCTTGCACTTGGTCCCATCCTACCAGAGGTTGTGGACACTGAGGAGTGAAGCTGCCTTGATCAACATTCTGAATTCTCTCCTTGTATGCCCTTATCTTGTCGTTCTCGTTCTGTGCAGCATCGAGAGCTAAGTTACGGTACGGCCATGGAATAAAAATCCTGATGTTGAAGAAGGCTCACTGTATACGCGTCCAGAATCCTCGAGCTCTGACGTCAACACGGGCTTCGTTGGTTGTTTGAAGCCCTTTGTTGGAAAATCTCCCGTCAATGAAAGAAGGGTCGGTTCTACCTGACATCACAGCAGATTTCCTTCAACATCTTTGCGAGATCCTTACTTCGCCATGCCTCATGCATATGAAGCCCCTTTCTTGCACACCATGGCGTGATCAACGTCATAGGAAGAGCCACACACGCATTGGGAGGGCAAACCTTCTATTGGCCTACCGTACCTTAGGGCATTGGCATCTGTAAATTCTCTTTCATTGAGACTGAAACCATTTGCCCTTATCGGTAACGTAGGTAACCAGTTCGAGGCGCCCACCTCCTGCGTTATAGCTCCTTTTTTCAAATTCTCTGGTACTTGCAACAACAGTTGCTGCAACTTATCACTTTGGCCGTGCTGTCGTTCTGTCGTAATGGACCTTTGAATCTTGTTTACTTCACTGGTATCCACCTCCTGTTGCGTTCTGAGCTATGGAAGTGGTCAGTGAGGCTGCCGTGAAACTTAACTGAGTTTGTTCGGTGGCAGCAATCTCCTCTGGATTGGTCAATCCCATTCCTTCCAGTCTGTGGTAGTGCAAGGAGTGATCTTTCTGCTGGGTTAAGTGAGATGTTTCACTAATTTGGGAATGAAATTGACTGATAACTTCTTTCAGAGGGTGGAGGAAGGGTTCGATAACAGGGATAGTGCGCATCAGGTAGATCCAGCCATGCTTGACTCCATGGGTGAATGTAAAGCCGCATGTGGCTCTGTGTTAGCAATATAAGAGGCTTGGATTTCACTAACCCACTCATTCACTTTTCCCGTTACATACTCGATCTACTCGGTCTTGAAGTCCGTCGAGCCGATTACTGCGCCTAGGTGTCTTTGGCCATCCTTTGTTATTTTGACCTCAATTCCACCGAACACCTCCATTACCAGTTCATAATGATCTGGCTTCACAATGAAAAAGGACTTGCTGGCGTTTGGGTGGTACCCTATTTGTGGACCACGTGATGTTATCAGGTCCCACCACTTTTTTATGTCCTCCACTTTTACTGCTCGTCTAAGGTCGCCGGCATACGCCACTTGCTTGACCTCGGTTGTTTCAAATTTTATTGAGTGTTGGAGCACGGATGGCCTATTGCGTACATTGCCATTGCAACAGGGGTCCCCCCTGTGTTGTTCCCTCCGTTGAATGTATGATGGTATCACCTCTTAGAGCCTTGGTGTTTACTATATAGAGGTCTGATGCATTCCTATAGGTGTTTTCAACATACTACTACTACTACTACTACTAATAATAATAATAATAATAATAATAATAATAATGATAATAATATTAACAATGAAGACGATGCTGATGATGATAAGAAAGGGAAGGAGAAGAAAAGGGAAGATTGAAGAATGAAAAGAGAATTAAACGGAAGAAACGAAGAGGTAAAATTCCACAAAAACGAAAATAAGAATAAAAACTAACACATTATCTCTCACTATAGTATATCTACAGTTCACATACCATATACACAGGTACCCTCTCATTATAGGTCACCATATCATCATACATCACTATAAGAGCTCCAGAACCCCGTCAGGCGAGTAGATATCACCGCAGATCTTGTTTGTGTGGAATCTGAACCCGCTTTAGGGGGATTGTGGGATCTGATTCCTTTCTACCCTGGAGGAAGTAGGATCTGGTTACCTGATCGTCTTTCGGGTCACTGTGGGGTATAGGATCTTTCGTCTTTCGTTTCGACTTTCGTTCTGTCTCTGTTGGGTATAGGATCTGATCGCCTTTCGTCCAGTCACTGTGGGAGTATTTGATTGTCCTCCCATAGGATATAGGAATAGCGCAATACTCCTTACACATAGGATGGGAGTACCAAGCTCTGTAGGATACTCGGTCTGATATCCTAACGCTGATATCTATCAACTCAGGATATAGGATTCGAATTCCAATATCGCCATATCAAATAGGATCCAATTCATTAGGATTTGGTGTACATTTTCCTGCCACCCCCCATGGTCTTGTCACCCTCCTCTACCCCAGGTGTTGTCACCCTCCTCTACCCCAGGTGTTGTCACCCTCCTCTACCCCAGGTGTTGTCACTCTCCTCTACCCCAGGTGTTGTCACCTCCCTCTACCCCAGGTGTTGTCACCCTCCTCTACCCCAGGTGTTGTCACCCTCCTCTACCCCAGGTGTTGTCACCCTCCTCTACCCCAGGTGTTGTCACCCACCTTGTCACGGATATGCCACTCATCTCCCCCCTGTCTTGACATCCTGTTCCCCCCTGACACCCTCCCCAGCTGGTCTTGGCTCAGGTGGTGGAGGGATGAACCAGCTGCCGGTAGATGAACTTAGGAGATCAATTGCCACCTGGCGGATGTGCGGATTACTGTAACGTGGGAAAGTTGGGAGAGGAGAGTTGGGAGAAGGGAGGAGGAGAGTCGGGGAGGGAGGAGGATTGGGGAGAGAGGAGGAGGAGAGTTGGGGAGAGGTGGAGGAGGAGAGTCGGGGGAGGGGAGGAGGAGAGTTGGGAGAGGGGAGGAGGAGAGCTGGGGAGAGGGGAGGAGAGAGTTGGGGAGAGGGGAGGAGGAGAGTTGAAGAGGAGGAGGAGAGCTGGGGAGAGGGGAGGGGAGAGTTGGGGAGAGGGGGAGGGAGAGTGGGGAAGAGGGGGAGGAGGAGAGTTGGGGGAGAGGGGGGGGGAGGGAGGGAGGTGGGGAGAGGGGAGGAGGGGAGAGTTGGGGAGAGGGGGAGGAGAGAGTTGGGGAGAGGGGAGGAGGAGAGCTGGGGAGAGGGGAGGAGAGTTGGGAGAGGGGAGAGGGAGGGAGAGGGGAGAGGAGAGCTGGGGAAGAGGGGGGAGGAGGAGAGCTGGGGAGAGAGGGGGAGGAGGAGAGCTGGGGAGAGGGGAGGAGAGTTGGGGAGAGGGGGGAGGAGGAGAGTGGGGAGGGGAGGAGAGTTGGGAAGAGGGGAGGGAGGAGAGCGGGGAGAGGGGAGGGGGAGAGTTGGGGAGAGGGGAGAGGAGTGGGGAGGGGGAGAGTTGGGGAGAGGGAGAGGAGGGAGAGGGGAGGAGGAGAGGTTGGGGGAGGAGGAGGAGGAGAGCTGGGGAGAGGTGGAGAGGAGAGTTGGGGAGAGGGGAGGAGGAGAGCTGGGGGAGAGGGGAGGAGGAGAGTTGGGGAGAGGGGAGGAGGAGAAAGGGGGAGAGGGAGGAGAGCTGGGGAGAGGGGAGGAGGAGAGGGGAGAGGAGTGGGGGAGGGGGAGATGGGGGAGAGGGGAGGAGGAGAGCGGGGAGAGGGGGAGGAGGAGAGAGCTGGGGAGAGGGAGGGAGGAGAGAGAGTTGGGGAGAGGGAGGAGGAGAGTTGGGGAGGGGAGAGGAGAGTTGGGGAGAGGGGAGGAGGAGAGTTGGGGAGAGGGGAGGAGAGTTGGGAGAGGGGGAGGAGGAGAGTTGGGGAAGAGGGGGAGGAGGAGAGTTGGGGAGAGGGGAGGAGGAGAGTTGGGGGAGAGGGGGAGAAGGGAGAGCTGGGGAGAGGGGAGGAGGAGAGTTGGGGAGAGGTGGAGGAGGAGGAGGTTGGGGAGAGGGGGAGGAGGAGAGCGGGGAGAGGGGAGGAGGAGAGTTGGGGAGAGGGGAGGGGAGAGCTGGGGGAGAGGGGAGGAGGAGAGTTGGGGAGGGGGAGAGGAAGGGGGGGAGAGGGGAGGAGGAGAGCTGGGGGAGGGAAGGAAGGGGAGAGGGGAGGAGGAGAGCTGGGGAGAGGTGGAGAGGAGAGGAGAGGGGAGAGAGAGTGGGGAGGGGAGGAGGAGTTGGGGAGAGGAGGGAGGAGAGTTGGGGAGAGGGGGGAGAGTGGAGTGGGGAGAGGGGGAGGAGGGAGTTGGGGAGAGGGGAGGAGGAGAGTTGGGGGAGGGGGAGGAGGAGTTGGGGAGAGGGGAGAGGGGAGAGTTGGGGAGAGGGGAGGAGGAGAGTTGGGGAGAGGGGAGGAGGGGAGAGTTGGGGAGAGGGGAGGGGAGAGTTGGGGAGAGGGGAGGAGGAGAGTTGGGGAGAGGGGGGGAGGAGAGCTGGGGAGGAGGGGGAGGAGGAGAGTCTGGGGAGAGGGGAGGAGAGAGAGCGAGGGAGGAGGAGAGCTGGGGAGAGGGGAGGAGGAGAGCTGGGGAAGAGGGGAGGGAGGAGAGTTGGGGAGAGGGGAGGAGGAGAGTTGGGGAAGAGGGGAGGAGGAGAGCTGGGGAGAGGGGGAGGAGGAGAGGGGGGGAGAGGGGGAGGAGAGAGTTGGGGGAGGGGAGGAGGGAGAGTTGGGGAGAGGGGGAGGAGGAGAGTTGGGGAGAGGGGGAGGAGGAGGGGGGAGGGGGGAGAGGGAGGGGGGAGAGAGGAGGAGTGGGGAGAGGGGAGGAGGAGAGTTGGGAGAGGGGAGGAGGAGAGCTGGGGAGAGGGG